TTTGAATGAAGACAATTTGTTAAATTTCTTCTGCGTGCGATTCAATAAGTTTTTTTCATGAATCAAGTTATATTATAAGGTAAAGAAATCACGAGTAGGCTATAACATCCGCTGATGACACTAATATTACGTTGAATATATTTATATAACGGAGGTTTCATTATGCACGCGCACATTACAGATTTCTTTAAATAAATACTAAGGCACATTTTAGTTTAATGACAGTCTCTATTTTTTACTAATGAATATGTATTTTTCTTTATAAAACAAGACAAACTAGTATATAAAAACCTTGTATATTTTTATTCTCTCTAAATTGTTTAAAGTTCGAATATGGATTGTATTTTGAAGGACAAAAGATTTACTTTAAAAACTTTTAAAGCTTGGGACTTTGCCGATGCTTTGCTGATGCTTTGCCAATGCGATGATCACAGAAAAAGAGAAGACTTACGTTATTAAAATCAAATGTAAATTATGTGATCTTCATCAAAATAAAATATTATCCAAAAACAATGGTGCTGTAAGGGCAACTGCCAAACGGTTTATAAATAATACTAGTCATGTTAAATGTTTTAACATGTTACTATATTTTAATTAAGTTGATAAATAATTAAAAATAAAAATATAGTTCAATAAATAAATTAAATTTGTTCTTAACAAAGATTACCTCATATTTATTCTTTTTTTATTTTATTAATTAAGTTGCTTACAAACGAAAAAAAAAAAGAGTTGTCATTATACGTTGAATGAAAATACTTTTGAGTTTGTTTATAAGTTAAGGAACTTAAATTTTAAACAAATTTTTACGAACGTTTATTATAAACAGATACGATTCAAATTATTAAATATACTTAAATTATTTCAGTTGAGTATTTTTTTAAGTTTGCACAATTAAAGTTTGGCATAGAAGTATTTGTTTTTTTGTTTTAAGAATAATTAACAAAAGAGTTTGCATAATTTAGACTTTAATATTTAATTTAATTTTTTTTTTTTAATTTCCTAAAATTTAAAAAAAAAAAGATTTAATTGTTAAAAACAATTTTTCTCTATAGCTCTGTTTTTTTGTGATTTGTTTAAAAAGTAAAATATTTTTACAATAACATAAAAAATTTATGAATTAAATTCCTGGCGAACACGTTCAAAATTATGTATCAAAAATATGCTCAAAGCAGACAAAACTTTATTATATTTTTATAAAACGCAAGTTGAAACGCTAAGCAAGATAAATTTAAAAAGTATTTAAAAACCTAAATTTTTCTTTGCTAGTCAAAACAAAATCGTTGTTTAAATGATTAACATGGGTTTGTGTTTAACAATGTTAGTATTTTTTGTTTACTCTAGATATTTTTTAAAATTTTTAAAAAATCATTATCATTTTTTATTCAATAGCGATTAAAAACAATTATTCAAAAACAAGTTTCAGAAATAGTTATTTGAGTTAGTTGTTAAATTGAACTAGTTAGCGGTTATTTATTTATTGCGGTAGTTAAAACACTTAACGTCTATAAAAAAAAATAAAGATAATTTTATGACGTCAAAATCGCGTTAAGCTATTGCATTAAGCACTTTTTTATTTAAAACAAAGCCTGAATATATCAAGCTTGAATAAAATTCAAACATAATACCGCAAATCAAAATAAAACAAAACAAGAAAAAACATGTGCAAATCTAAGGATACCATTGCTCGAACTCCAAAGCTATAAGCGATTTATGTTGACTCAGAAAGATTTTATTAAAACATACCTGGAATTCTCTTACTTCTTCTTAACTTTGAGCAAGGCTGGGTATTCAAGGTACCCGCTTACTATAGAATTGTTTTCTATGAGACAACGTCGTTCTTTCATGGCCTCATTGAGACATTGAGTTAGCAATGGCGAATACATTTGTTCAACCCGAATATTGTTTTTGGACTTGAAAAAGATATTTTTTGTGTGTTCACTATCAGCCAATATATGAAAATGTGGCTTGACTTGGTGCTGTTTTGGTGAACTTTTCCTCATGACAGCGTTCGATCATGTCATGGGCATTTTTTGGGTCTATGTTAGCTGCTTTTGCAATGGTATCTGCAATAATTAGTTTGGTATCAGACCAGGATTCCCTGGATTTATTTGTGTCAACAGAAATGTTTTTAAAAATCAGTGTCTTTCTTAAATTTCTGTTTACTTGGTCATCTAATGCAGCATTAAGCTTAATAATGTCTTCGGAAAATTTTTTATTATCTAAGGTCAGAATGAGCAGTTGCTGTCCTATTTCATTTATATCATCAGTATTTTTTTGTACTGTAGATTTAATATTAGTATATGTAATTTTTAGTTCAGCTATATTGCTAGTTATTTTAGAAAGACTTGTGTTTATTGCTTGTAGGATTTCAACTTTTTGTGCATCTAAAAGTGCTTTAACATGTTCACGCCGGCGTGTACCACCGGTGGTACACGCCGACGTGAACGTGTTAATGTTTTTCATCGATATTTCTTGATTAATCCACATTGTGAGTTTTAATTTTTATATGGATAGATTGATAAATTGATTTCATTTCACTTTTTTTAATTATTATTACATAGCGGTGATATATTGGAAAAATTTATTTGGATATTATTTGATACATGACTTTAGTTGATTTTATAGGTTTACGCCATCTTACTTCTATGCCGGTTCACAAAAAAGAGTGGGATTTGTTGAATCAGTTTATAGTGGCTTTGATAATGAAGATGGTATTACATTTAGTGATGATATTCAAGTTGTTCATTGTTGACAATGATTTTATTCCCTTATCTTTGTCAACAAAAATAACAGAATAGTCTTTGTTGACCAACTTGTTCCAGCATTTTAATAAATGCTCTGACAACAAAAAAGTCAACACAGGTAACTGATATAATATCAGAAACTGACATTAGAAACTGACAGATATATATATATATATATATATATATATATATATATATATATATATATATATATATATATATATATATATATATATATATATATATATATAAATAAACAATTTAAAATGTATTCTACAAAAAGAGTGCTCAATGTTCGTAAAAGAACAGAGCAATTACAAATTAGAAGAAAATCACTTAGCAAAATTTTTTCTCATTTAACACTGTGTTTCATCAATAAAGACTCATCAGAAATTAATGATCAAATTAATAAAACTTCAATTTATACCAAAAATTAAATTACAGGAAGTCACATGTCTTAACTACTGCAATATTTCACACATTTGTGTAATTTGCTGACACTTTTGTAAAAGGAATTCTTTAGAAATGATTACTCAGGCTTTTTTAAATAATAATATTTATTTTTTCAAAGGGGAGTTAATGTAACTATTATTTGAGCTCACATATTTTTATAGTTTTTTAGGAAAAACTTATTTTCGTGCCTGCATTTAGAAATCAATTTCGATTTTTTGTTTAATAAACATTCTTGGTTTGTATGTGTAATTATTTCAAATTTTTCTTGTAGACATAGTGTGCATTTTTTGGAAATATTGTTATATGCAGGCACTGTTTTGAGGATGGACCAATTCAGTGTAAAATTATCAATATTTTTATATTTTAATTCCCATATATATTTTGACAGCATGGTGTCTTTTGAATACTTTTTATTTTTAAAAGATTGCTTACGATTGGCAAAACGTTTTTTCCATTCACCTTCTGTTATGCCAATATATTGTTTATCAGGTACATTCTTAGAGGAGACAACACATTTATATACCACATTTTTTGATAAGCAACTTCCACTCATTGGAATTGTTTTTTTGTTTACAATTACAATTTTCTGTAGTTTTTTCATTTTGGATTTCTTTTTTGTTTAACAAAGCATTGTTGTGACCTTTTATAATTTTTTCCATATTTTAGTGTAACTGTAGCTAACTTTAATAGTATTTCGATTAAAAATTTTATGTAATTTATTAGAGGGCGGAAAATGCTTATCGATCAATTTTAAAAACACTTTTCCTATGTTTGTGGAAACATTTTTGATATATGGGGGGTTGAACCAAATTACATTTCTAGTTCTATTTTGCTTTTTTCTATTCTTTTTTTCAGGGTCAAATTTTAATTCAAAGTTTTCAAAACCACTTTTTTTAATGGCATCTTCAAATATCTGTTTGGAGGAATTGAATTCATTTTCATTAGAGGAGCTTTGGTTAAGCCTGTTATTAATTGAAATCGGGATTTGTTTTAGAATTTGGGGTGGATGATTTGAGTTAATATTAATATACAATAATTCATCATCATCAAATAATTCATTTGGTTTTTTGAAAGGCTTGTATGTATTTTCCGAAAGGTTAAATGTGACATCAAGAAAGTTCACATTTTTTAAATTTATGTTTATTTCAATTTGAAAGCCAATTTTTTTTAAAATTTTTATAATATCTTTTCTAATTTTATCAAGCTGTGGACCAGATTTTTTACGCATTACTATTAAACCATCGTCACAATAAAGGCCTAAATCATTTATATTGATTATTTTACTTAATAAATCTAAAATATATAATCCAACAAATTCACAAATTTCTGCTCCATCATAACTGCCCATTGTTACATCAAAGCAGTTATGTATGTTTTTTTTTTCCAGGTTTCCTTATTAAAACAAAGTAAGGTTTTTCTACAATGTTTTATTATGCGAATTGTTTCTTCAGAAATAACTGTGTGGCTTTTTGCAAATTCAATTGTTTTATCTAAAATATCTGCAGTTATTGAGGGGTAAAAATCATTAATATCAAATTGAATAAATGTACAGTCATTTTTATTACCGATTATGGAGAACCAATTTATAACATCAGTGGTATTTTTCCACTGTTGCAAATTTATTTATATAGTTACATAATTCCTGCCCAAATTTATTTATATAATTATATAATTCCTGCCCAAGCCTTTGTAACATGTCTCGTAATGATAATATGAACAAAGTATTTAGTTTTATTTTTTTTTAAATAAAAATGCCAAAAATAAAAAAAAGGCCATTTACGCGATCAAAAAGTGAAGAGAATTATCGAGGTTGCCCTTATGATTTAGTTACAATGGATTCAAGCACATACAATTAATTCAGTTTTATTACTTCCTAGATTGTTCTGACATTGAGCCAAACTTTTGGGCAATTGTTAAGCGTGTTTCATGTGTTTTAAAATCTATATGGTTATCTGTCGATCCACGGTTGCCTTTAATAAACGATAAGTCTATTGAACAAAAATTAAAAATCTATTTGCAACTGTAAAAAACATAAATCATAAACATTCAGAAGCAAATATCAAACGAAATCTGGATTCTAAACTAGATAAACTTTTTGACATATCTGCTTGTTGCTGTTCATTGGGCATTGTTTCATGTTACAATGTTTATGTAAAGTGCAAAAAAGAAAAACGCAAAACGGAACACATTATTTGCATATGCCCTAAAGAAGCAAAGGTCCCAATAGAAAAAGAGTTTATATATGAGACCAGTGTTTAAAAACAGGACCAAAAGGTCTATATCAGATGTCTTCAGTAGATATGTCTGCTTTAAAACACAACAACAGGATTAAACAGAAGGAAGGAAATATATCACATCACAAACATATTAATAATGAGGTTTCAGGTTCATTACCAGATCCCCCAGAATGCACATCTGAAATTATAAAACCTCAGGTATTTTAATTTATATATTTAATGCTTGTTAATAATAAAATCATTTATCATAAAGATTTCAAATTTTTTACTTAAGGAACATGATGAATGGCAACCGAGTAAAAGAACTCAGGCAGATTATAGTATTCAAAAGTTTCCAAGATATGCTATGGAGCTGGTCAGAGGCGGATGTTCTTCAAATCTTGGTGCAGCTCTTGGAAATGCCTTACTCCATGATATCAAGCATTTATTGTTACCGGAAGTTGACATCAATAATATTCTAATGGATAAGTGTGAATTAGACAGAGCTAAGTCAAAAGTAAAAGTAATTTCAAAAAATGCAGATTCAGAAGAAAAGACACAATTGTTTTGTATTGGTTTAGATGAAAAGATAGATAAGAACATGAAAATGTACTTAAAAGCAAATAATTCTGAAGAAAAAAATTTCATAGTAAAATGTTTTGGTGCAGAGCACCACCTTACTTTTACACATGAGGATGGCAAATTTCACGGAATCTACTTGACACACAGAACAATACCCATTGTTGGTGCAACTGGGGATATTCTTGCTCTTGAGACATTTAGTGTACTTAAAGAATATGACAGCCTGGAGAGCATCCGTGCTATTCTTTTAGACAATACTGCATCATGAATCATGCTCGATGGTTATCTCTTTCTATACAAATTCTTTGTTTATACACTCAAGATGTTTCTCCAAACGCAAGTCTGAAAAAGATTACCCATTATATTGGTAAAGTTTATGCTCCATCATGGTTTCAAATAAATAAATCTTCCAAACTGCAAGATTTCCCCCAGATTCTGTTTTTCACTATTAATCAATTGAATCTTATTAAGTTTGATGATGTAAAGAAAATTGTAAAAAAAAAAACATTCCAGGTAATGCTTTCTGTTTGATACCTGCAAATTTTCTCTACGCAATGGTTAAAAATAATGATGAGCAGATCAGAACTCTCGAATTTAAGACAATACTCACTCTCAGAAAACAGTAAACTTTTAAAAATTTAAGACAATACTCACTCTCAGAAAACAGTAAACTTTTAAAAATTTAAGACAATACTCACTCTCAGAAAACAGTAAACTTTTAAAAATTTAAGACAATACTCACTCTCAGAAAACAGTAAACTTTTAAAAATTAGTTTTCCTCTTTATAATTTATCAGGCATCTGTATATAAAGCTTTTTTAAAAAGTGTATTGTCAAGGCCGGCGCGATAGGGGTGTGTGGGGGTGTGTGACCCCCCCCCCCCTCATCAATGATTTTTAGTCTGCAAACTGGACCCTTAGTCGGCAAATCCGACCTTTTTAGACTAGTTAGTCGGCAAATGTCAACCCTTTCAATATAGGTTAGACAGTCGGCAAATGTCGTAATGGCAGTCGGCAAATTTTGGAAAACGAGGACCTTTTTTTTTTTTTTTTTTTTTTTTTTAGTCATTAAGTTTCAATTAAGTATAATCATTTTTTTTTGTTTTTAGCAAGTATTTTGAAAGTAACAATATTTTTATTTTCAGAAACAAAAGCAGTTATGGAATAGAAAAGAAAATTCTTCAAATAAATTGGAACGCTACGAGCTGGATATCTCTTATTGATATTGCTGATCTTGCTTATATCAAAATGGAGCCACCAACTTCAAAAGATTTTTCTGATGAAGATATTTACACATTCATTAAAAGTAAAATAAAGCCTAATATTCAAGACCTCCCCTCTTATTCCCAGAGCGTTGAGTCAAATTAGTTTCTGAAACTTCTAACACAGTATATGGATTTGAAGCCAAGCATAACAAAACTACTTAGCAGAAAAATGCGTCAAAGGTTTATCTCAAAAGTACATTATTCTCAGTTGTACGATAATTTATTTGCTTAACTTGCTTGTTACATTCTTGAAATAATTTTTTTTTAGTTTATTATTGCTTTTTAAATGACTTATTAAACTAATAATGATTATTTATTGAATTTTAATTAGCATTTAATTCGATAATCTATGCAACTCAATGAAGAAAAAATTTATACTTATTTATTATGACATTTTTGCATAATAAAACGGAACGATAAACCGTATCAATAAATTTAAATACAATATTTGAGTTTTTCCTTGGTGTGTCAAACTCTTTTTGAATAAAATTTAATGTGAACGTATTGAAAAAAATGAAACCACAAGCAAAAAGTTAATGTTTTTATAGCAAATGTTGATGAGGGTACCTTTAAATTTTGATCGCTAATCCGCAAGCTGCCGTTTGACTAAATACTTTCAACTTTTCATTTTTTTGTTTTATTTATATAAATACACCTTTCAGTACCTTAGCCGTTACGAAATTAAAAAAAAAATGTCATATCAAAACTTGTTTGGGTCAAACAGTAAAATTTTAGTTTTACAAAACCGAGTCATGTTATCAAAATCTTTGTCATGTTATTCAGTTTATTTAACGTTAATCTAGTAAAGTTGTAGTTTTTTCCTTATTATTTAAAGTATTTCTTTGCAGATTTTTGTTTTTAATAAAATAGCTTCAATTTAATATTGTATGTTTTTTTCACGCTCTAACTGATTTTTTTTTTTTACAATTTGATGACAACTGTTTTGATGTTTTAACAATTTAAATGCAATAAAAAAAAAAATTTATTTTACAAATAACTTTTAACCATTGATCTTTTTTTTTAGTCATGCTTTTATTTTATGCAAAGGCTTTAAATAAAATCAAAAATTAATTATAGTATAGATCATTTCAAATAAACACATGTATAAATTATGTTATACTTAATTTTTTTTTTGTAGGTATGTATTTTTTATGATAAATTTAAAGGTTTGAAACTAACTTCTTTTTTTGTGCAACTTTTTGAAAAAAATGTTTATGCAAATTAAAATAATAAATTTTTATCTTCAATAATTTAATTTTACTTTTCAATAGTTTAAGTAAAATTTTTTCATTTATGTATCAATAATAGGGTGGATCGATTTTCATAGCAAAAAAAAAAAAGTTTAAAAATCAATATTCAGAATCACGAATCGATGTCTATTAATTATAAGATGAAAGTAAAAATTTTTTTTTGATTTTGATGAGATCTCGAGGTTCCTCTTTGGATTCTAAATCCTTGATGGATCCTAATATTTTAAAACTTAATATTTTTGAATTTTTTTTTTTCTAAACTCTATCAACCTTGGACTCAAAAGAAGCAGAAAAAAATGCTTGTTTTATCATTAATAATTTTATTTAAAAAAATTTTTAGTGAAAAAAATATTTGCATAAATATACCCTACAACCCACGTTTTGATGAAGATGAGGTTTTTTAATGAAAAAAACAACATTTTTTTCTCTTTAGTTTTGAAGTAAAACAAATACTATATTCAAAATAGGCGTATTATTCCGCTTCTTTTGAGTACCAGGTTGATATAGTTTAGAAAAAAAAAAATTTCAACAATATTAGGATCCGTCATAAATTTAGAATCCAAAGAGGAACTTCTAAAACTCATTTAAATTGAAAAAAAAAAAGTAAGGCTCTTTTTTCACCAAAAGGCATCGATTCGCAGCTCAGGCAAATCAAATTTCAAAAATTTTTAAAATCGATCCGCCCTAATCAATAATCATCAATCAATAAGTAATTTATAAAAGCGTTTTGCGCAACTTTGATTAAATGTTTTAAAAATAAGTTTTCAAATTTTTTTCAAATGCAATTAACTTACTTTTATTAGTTTAGAATGCCAAAATGATATTAGAAAATATATATATATATATATATATATATATATATATATATATATATATATATATATATATATATATATATATATATATATATATATATATATATATATATATGTATATATATATGTATATATATATATATATATATATATATATGTATATATATATATATATATATATATATATATATATATACATATATATGTATATATACATATATATGTATATATATATATATATATATATATATATATATATATATATATATATGTAGATGTTATTATAATTATTTATACAATTTTTTCATATAGAGTTACCTAGTGGTTTTCCGATTATTAAAGCACACCCTGTAGATATACGCCAACCTGAAAGAAAAATTATTGATTTTAAATGTGAGGTTTCTGGTAAACAACCACTGCAAGTAATATGGTTTCACAACAGGATCCCAATTACCTGTAACAATAACCATCATGTATGTACATACAATCCATCGGATAAAAGTGATTTTATATCAAACTTGAGCCTTCGCAACGTATCAAACTCTCACACTGGATTTTACCAATGTGTTGCTTTTAACGAATATGGACAAGCAGTATCCTATCAAGCTATGTTTACTGTAGCTCCCAAAAGAATTAGGAAAGTAAGTTTTCTTTAATTGTTTTTTAAATTTAGTTAAATCAAGTGAGGAATCATTTTAAACAAAACAAACAAATGTCATTAAGTAAGTGCAAATCTAAAAGATTAAAAAAATGTATGAATGCAAATCAAAAATATAATAAGGCTGCTTTTTAAAAAAATCAAGACCACAGGGTTTTAAAAGCTTTTAGTCATTTTAATAATAATTTTTAAACCTATACACGACACAAGAATATACTATAACTATATTTTTATTTGAGTTATTTTTGTTAGGGCCTTAGTCTCATGTATTAAGAAAACAAAAACTTTTAAAAAACTTGATAAAATTTCAAACAAAAAATTAAGTTTAAATTTTAAAGTTAAGTAAAAGTTTTCAAAGTTTGTTGTGTTTAAAAAGTCAACAAAATGGAATTTATATATACTTATTTTAACTTACATATATATTAACTTAATCGTTTTTTTTAATATTAATTGTTTGTTTTGATCATTTGACCACAGCTGATAACATTTCAAAAATGCACTGATTAAAATATATTTTTAATTATACCTTATTTTTATCTTTACTAATGTTTTTATATTAGCAAATAATTTTTATATAAAGTAACAATTTACTGATAATTATTTTGGTGTAAAGTATCAATTAAAGTTGTATATATATTTTTTTTAATTTATATTATATAAATTAAATAAGTATGCATTTTTTATAAATAATGGTACTTAAAAAATAGTTTTGTTTATATAAATGAGGACCTTTTTGGACAACGACAGTCTTTTTAACAGAGATGCAGAGTCCAAAAAAGGACTCTGCATTTAAAATACAAAGAAAGATTTTTCCTACCCAGTTTTTGGTATCCAGGTGCTCTAAAAATATAAATAAGCTTATGGACTACTTTTGGGAAAAAGTTAAGACTTTTAGGTTAAAGAAACAATCAATTTTTATACTTTGGAGCTTTTGAAAATGACAGCAAGGACTCTAAGATACCGGGCTAAACAATTATTTACTAGTATGTATTTACATGGAACCTTACTATTTGTTAATTAGTAAAAAAACACAATTTAAATTTTTTTTAATAATAAATGCTAAATATTATTTGCGTGGTCATATTATTGGCTAAGAATGGGGTGCGATCGCATGCCTACCTGACCTTACTGTACTTACAAATATTGGGTTTTTCCTTTTTATAAAAAAATGTTTACACTATAAGCATTTTAGCTGTATTCTTTGTTTAATTTCATTAAAAATTAAATAAAGAATCCAGCTTTTATACTTATTTTTATTTCCATTGAAATATTTTGTTTTCATTTACTGTAAAATCAAATAAATCAGTGTTTTTTAAAAGGGTTTTGCACAAACCTGTTTTTGAGAAAGAAAAAAAAACTCTTTATATCTTTTAATATTAAATATAGAGAAGTTGTGTAATATTTTTTAAAAATATGTATGCAAGAGTAACATCTTAGTACACTTTGATATTTGTTACAACATTCCATTTGTTAATAATTAATATACGAAATTTCAATAAGTTGGCCATTTAAAAAAAAATACAACTATATACTTTAAAACAATGTTTTAACATACCAGTAATAAATATAATACATATATATGTTTTAATAGCTATCAGCTCAAGTCTTAGCGTATTATTCTAGTTCTTCCTCAAAATCACTATCAGAGACTCACTTCATTAGTTGGCCAGGAGCTTGTTATAAAATTCGTTGAATTCTTCAAGAATAAATTCTTTTAATTTGTTAAAGTCTTCCACCTTTGATTTTTTCAGCTTAGCTTTATCCGCTTTATTTTTTTGCTTTATCCACCTTGGACCGCTTTTGCTTTTTTCAGTGTAACTTTGCTACTTGGATAAGCTATCCACCTAAATTATCCACCTGTGGTACAGTACCCGTATGTTTGGACATAAAAAAAGCATGACAAACCAAACCATTTATATTGGTGAATAACTTTTTTTTTATCATGCACATATACAAAATAAAACAAATTACTAATAGAAAACCTTCTTATTTTTACTCTTGGTTTCTGAAGAAATGAAAGATTTAAAATCAAAAAAATTCAGTTGTATTTACTATTTCTTCCACTATAAACTTTTGTGATCTGGAGTTGCTAATAATAAGCTAGGTGAGTTGATGCATGTGATAAAGACGGTCATATGTTTCTAAAACACTTGAAATTATACTAAAGCCAATATCGCAAGGGAGAAAACTTTACCCTCTCATCGGGAACAACTGTTCCTCTTTATCAAACCACTCTCAGTAAAGTAAAAACAAAAATATGATAGGGTTTGAATTTTTATTTTGTCGACTTCAGTTGTCACAAAACAAACTTTATTTATTGTACTTTGGTGGAACTGTGATCAAATAATCATTAAAAAAAGTTGCAACTTCATTAGTCCCTTTTCTTTCTTGATCTTCAATATTATATATATATATATATATATATATATATATATATATATATATATATATATATATATATATATATATATATATATATATATATATATATATATATATATATATATATATATATATACACACATCAAATATAAGTCAAATGTAACATGAAATTTATAACTCCATTAATATATTTAAAAACTTTGAGATAAAAAAAAATGACCTTAGGGATAAAATAATTTGTTTTGGAAAGTTTAATTAACATAAAAAATTTTTTTTTAAGATTATTTAAAATGTGAACATAACTAAGTCTTGGCAAAAAAACGCTATTTTAGTTTTTAAAATAAAATCACTATGCTGATAAACAAGGACTAGGGAGCCCAAAAAAAACGCTATTTTAGTTTTTAAAATAAAATCACTATGCTGATAAACAAGTAAATTTTATTTATCTTAGTTATACTATATAAAATTAAACTCTTTAATTTCAAAAAAGAATACTTTTAAATGAGGGAAAAAAATCAATTTGTTTTAAAAATAATAGAAATATTATTAATCAATAATCATTAAAATAAAAATTTACCTATAATAAAGGTAAAAATGAAAACATATGAAGACTTTTAATTATTATAATAAACATTCGAAGAATGAATTACCAAAATGAATTAAAAAGTAAATACAAAAAAACAAATTAAATTACAGAGAGTAATTTAATTTGTTTAACTAAATTGTTTTTTTTTTTTTTTATTTAAATGTAAAAGAAAATTTAACAAAAAAAGAAGAGTTTTATAAGCACCTTAAGCAAAAATATGAATATTTTCAAAAATAATTATGCTGGATCCAAAAATTTTTTTTACAGTTAACTAGTGATGTACCAATAGCACTTTTTTGGTCAATGCCAATACCAATGCCGATGGATGGGAAAAGGGTGATACTGATGCTGATACTGATGAATTAACTAATTATTAAAATGTTGAAAATGTAAAGCTATACAACTTTAAATTGTGTAATTTTTTCATGGAATCAATACTGGTAAACAATACTTGGACTCAAATCTGAGCCAAACCATTATTTTAAAAGATATTAGAAAAAATTAAATACAATTTTAGAGGAACACTATATCAATTTTAAAAAGAAAATGGTACTATCATAAGTAGTTTACTTTTGGTACTATCATAAACAGTTTACAGAATTCTTTATTAATTTATTAGTAATTTAGATAACTAAACAACAATCATATATTGTTTAGAAATCTAAATTATTTTTAGATAATTAAGTTGTTTTTAGAATTTTATTTTGTAATGTTCGATCCCAACCTGGTAGTACCGTGCTCAAGTTGTTACTCTGCGCAGCAGCCTTGTTTGTCATGGTTTGTGTTTTGGAGTTACAAAGTTGAGAGAGGATTGTAGCCTCAACTTAAGTAGCCTCCTTGTTGCAGTGGCCTTCGTGGCCTTAGGGAGGTGAACTGAAATAAAAAACAAATAAAAAGTAAAAATATAGAAATATAGTAGGCTATACTTGAACACATGTAGATAACAATGCTTAAATAGGTTACTTTTAAATGTAAAAATAAATTAACACAAAATAAAATCATCATGGAAGAAGGAGAAAAATTATATTAGTGTAAGAGTTAACTAAAAACTATTAAAAGGGTTGGACAGATACAAACAAGCACAAAATTCAAGCAAAGATTTATTATTATTAATTGTTTACGTATATTTTACCAATAAAATAGTAGACCAAATGAGAGGGGGTGGTTAAAACTAAGAGCATCGAGCTAAATGTTAAAAAGCAGCAGGTATTCAAAATTACAAAGCGCTTAAAGATTAGGATAAAAAACATACACGAGTAAAAAGGTAATATGAAACAGTTAAAGCAATGTAAAAAATGTGTAGATGGCATGGCATAATTGAAGCTTAAAAACTATGTATATATGTGTATGCGCCTCACTTAGAAAATAGATCGAGAGGGTATAAAAATGTATGAATGTATGGTAAAATTGAAGAATGTGAAGAGACGTGCGTTATTCAAAAATATACCATAGAAAGATTTTTTATATACAAGAAAGATAAATGGTTATAAAGAAAATATACAAGCAGTGGATTTAAAAGCAAAACAATGAAAAATTAGAAGGTGATAGGATTCGAACCACAACCATTCTGTGTATGAAGAAAACACCTTATCCAAGATAAGCTAATTTTGTGTATACTGAATAAACAAATAAATTTAATCATACAGTTAAAAATGTTGAAATTAATGAAGAAAGTAAAGCCTATGAGGTAGATAAATATGTTTAAAATACTATTAAAAAACCAGCATATGAGTGTATATAAACATATACGATGCATTACATAAATGTATTCATATAGGAACAAAATATACTTGTTACTTTAAAATTATACAAATATATTTGGCAAACAGATAGCAATTTATATTTATGCTTTCCTCTTTGAAAAAAAAGAGGTTTATGAATATGTTTTAGTGCTTAAGTTTTATGACTTTTTTATTTAGACAGCACTCAATCAAAAGCTACAGCCTGGTATGTATTTTTATTGGTTAATTCATATCTTTACAATTTGTATGTATTGCAATCATAGACATTTAAGTATGCTACATTTAATTACACTTATATTACTAGCATAGACATTTTTTTTCCAACAACAAAGTATTGACAAGTATAGAACAATAACTTACAAATACTTTAAAACCCTTTGTTATTAATGTGTTGTAATTATTAGGATCTTATTTGTTACAGGAGCCTAAAAACTATTGATATTTTGAAAGTATTATCAAGTATTACAGTAATTAAATTTAATTTTAAACCGCAATAAAAAATTTTTAAACTAATTTAACAAAAATTATTAATAGAATCTAAATTTGGTATTTGTAAAATAATTATATTTCCTTATTATTTATTTCTTAAAACGATCTTATATTTAACATAATCTTTTGTTTGTTTATCAAAATTTATTTCTTTTAATTTTTACGTAATTAGTTTTACGTAATTAGTATTTTTAGTAATGATTATAAAGAATTAATAAATAGATTTTATCAGTTATCAATAAGATATTTGTAAATGTAATTTATGTTTATGAATGTATTACGTCAAAAAAACTTTACACAATATTGAATTAATAAAAAACATAAAATACTGAAAAGAATTTTCTTAAACAAAAGCACTTCTCCCTTTTTATAAGAAAAAAAAAGTTTTTAATTTCCTTTTCCTTATAATAGTCATTATAATCATTATATAAATATCATTATCTATAATAATATTAAATATATATAGAAAACTTTATTTTGCAATACACCTCACATTAACGAAGTTAATAGATAATTTTTAAATATTCAAAAAAAAAAAAGTTTTTGATTAACTGAAATGTTTTGGACGTTTAAATTTACATAAAAGTGAACGCTTTTAAAAGTTACAAAATAAGCAAGCTGCATAGTGCTTCTTAACAACGTTCTTAAATTATTATTTTTTTTGGCAGATTAAGTTCTATTGCTTTATCTCTAAATCCTTAAATATAATTTGCTAAAAAATAAAGTATTATTTTTGTTTAAACATTAAAACTTTTTAGTTTTTATTTAAGAACTATTTTATTAAATACGTATTAACACTTTTACAATTTTCTTAAGTTCTAATTAGTAATAGAAAATGCAGAAAACAAACTTTGACACTGTGAGTTTAAAAATATAGTGGTACTGTCGGACAGCCACAAGTGTACACCTCTGAAAAAATGTTTCATGTGCAGCTATATTCATGTTTATTGACAAATAAACAAAAGCAGAAAAAAAAAGTTTAACACATATCTTCTAGAGTATATTTCAGAGTGTATTTTTTGTATATCTTTAATTTGTTTATAAAAACTTATTCAAGTTCATCCACTATTTTTGTTAATTTTTAGTAGATAAAAATAAATATCAGTCTGTTTAAGTTTCTTTGTTTTACTATTTTTTATTTAAATTTTATTAATAACTTTTAAATGATTAATAATTTATTATATAGTACCTTGTCCAGGCTTTATTGATGATTCAGTAGCTCATAATCTTAGCAAGACATATAGCACTTTAAGAATTTGCTGTGAAGGTCATGAAACTCGTTATCCAAATTTGCAATGGTCCAATCCTTCTTGTAAGTAAAAGTTTTATGACTATTTGTTCCACTAAACTAAGAGTTATACTAATAATAATAACAAAACATATTAACTATTATGTATATATATATATATATATATATATATATATATATATATATATATATATATATATATATATATACATACATAATATATATTATATATATATATATATATATATATATATATATATATATATATATATACATAATATATATTATATATATATATATATATATATATATATATATATATATATATATATATATATATATATATATATATATATATATATATATATATATATATATATGGGCTTCGGCAAGAGTAAATGAGCGCAAAAGCAGAGAAAGGCTCTCCTAAAATGAACATGGTGAGCTATGCAAGCTGCTCTTTTAAATAGTTTCTTATGAAAACTTTTAATTTTTGCACGAGCTATCTGTTTATTCATTGAAAAATTGCTTATTAAATAAAAAATTTGGTTTCAAACTTGTTACAATTTTACAAAATGTAATACTAATGTTTCAAGAATATATAAATAACAAGCATCATTTATTGTATCATGAAAAAATTCTTTAGTTTAGCATTGTCTTTGGGTTTTCAAACAAGCTATCCATTTATTTATTAGCGACATTGCCTAATTGATAAAAAATTTGACAAAGAGTTAAGATGTTTACTATGTATAAAAAATGTTTTATGTTTTCTTATTGTAATAAAATGCAGGCACTTTAAGAATTATTACAACAATTAAAAATTCCACAATAAAAGTGAATAATGTATTAAAGTAGTTAACATATAAAATATATAATTTATTACATAAAATAAAAATTGTTAGGCAATAATTTAGAGTGTAATAACTATTTTAATTTTTTTTTTTTTTTGCAACAACCATGTTTTTTAAAAAAGCATAACTATTAATTATGCAATTAATTTTTTTTTTTTTAAAGTGACTTTTTTTCATTTTAGTTACAATGATACAATGATAATTATACTTTTGAGAGAAAAAATTATATTTTTGCGAGAGCCGTAAATTGTTCCCATAAACCATTTTAGGGGAGTGTTAGAGAGAGTGGGAGCTAAAGTTCTTGCTTCCCATTGAGGTCTATATATATACATATATATATATATATATATATATATATATATATATATATATATATATATATATATATATATATATATATATATATATATATATATATATATATATATATATATATATATATCAGGCTTGGTCGGGAAGCGGGTGCAATCGCACTCGATAACTGACCACAGAAATAATATTTAGTTGCGAAAAACCAGCCAGTTTTTTTTGAGTCGTTTTGAGAACATTTAAGTTTTTGTTTGTTTCCTTGTTTGCCTGCAAAATAATAAGTTCATTTCATCGTAAACTTTAAAATATTTTGTTTACGGACTTACATGGAAACATACATAAACTTGAATGTTCTCAAACATCTTAGTATGGAAAAATAAAAAAAGAATATTTGCGAACACAAAAAAACTGCCAAATCTACGAACAATTAATAATAATTATATTGGTTCAAAAAATACTAACCGAAATTTCTAGAGTATTCAAAAAATACTAACCGAATGTCCTGATTATTCTGTTGAAATATTTAAAAAAATTGTATTATTTGAATTTTGTTACGTTTTTGTTGAGATTTCTAGCATAAATTATTTTAAGAATATACTATCAAACCAACTATTATTTTAATTCTTGGAGCCACATCTGAAAAGCTACAAATGTTTTAAACTAACATTATTTGTTTACAATGATAAATGTTTTAACTTTATATTTTTTAACTTGTCAACGTTTTGTAAATATATTATAGATTTTATTAGTATATTCTAATTTTTTATATATAAGGGATATATTTTTTATGTATGTAATGTATTTTTATGTATGTAAAGTATTTTTATTTATGTAATGTATTTTTATGTATGTATTTTTTATGTATGTAGTTTTATGTATGTGTTTTTTATTCAAATGTAATCTTTTAAAGCAATATGTGCGATAGATTTTGTAAACAAAAATACTTTCAATAATAACTGCATTTTTAATAAAATTATTAATAATCATCAAAGTTAATACAAATAATTTTAACCACTAATCCATTTTCCTCAGTGTACCCGATAACTCATTGTTTCTCCCAAGAAAGAAAAGTTTTTAAGTTCTTAGAAATTGGTTTACTAACTTCAATTATTTTTGTTTCAGCCATTCTTACAAACTCATTATACTTAGAGTTACTTTTTTCTGTTTTAAATACTAATTAAAATTATAAAGCCCATTTAGTATTGTGAAGCAGTTCCGCTTCCTCCTCACAAAGTAATTTAACGTTTTTTTAAATTTCTATCTAGCTAATTGAATTTCTACAGTAACTCGATGATTTAATTATTTTATTTGTTCATCTTACTAAGAAGAATTATTTCAAATATGTTAAACTTTTTAAACTAAGCGAAGCATAATACAGTTATTGAAAAAACTCTTTTATAAATAAATCATTTGGTTGAATCTTGTTGGACTTTTCAGGGCCGGAGGCTGCATTATTTTGGCGGTCTTTTTTATGTGTCACAGCGTAAAAATGACTAAAAAAAATACTGAATGGTCCTTTTGACTATTTCCCCTGACATTGTGAGTCTAGGGGCTATAGCCCTACTATTCCCACCCCACCTCCTTAATCCAGTACTGGAAATAAGCTGGAAATAAGACATAAGTGTATAAATAAAAATTATATATACTTTTTGATAAATCGAAGAACATTTGTTTTTTTATAGTTGTTACTTTGTATAAAAAATGTTGCTTAATTTTATAAAAAAAATTATAAAAGTGCGACGTTTCAAAAATAATTGCTCTAATACATTTATTTTGCTTAAAGTTTTTTCACGTTAAAAGCTATTTTTCTTTTTTTAATTGTCTCTTATCGGTCCAGTTAATCTTATTGCGCTTTTTTGTTTGTTTTTGAAATGTTCTCAAAACGACTAAAAAATCTGGCCGGTTTTTCGCAACTAAATTATATTTCCGTGGTCAATTATCGAGTGCGTTCGCACCCGCTTCCCGACCAAGCCTGATATTTATATATATATATATATATATATATATATATATATATATATATATATATATATATATATATATTATTATTACTATTATTATTGTTATTATTGTTATTATTATTATTATTACTATTTTTTTTTAGTATTAATTGTATCAGTTTTTAATTGCAGTTAGAAATAGCACAGTGAAGAGTTTGGTACTTGGTATATTTCCTATATTTGGTCATTATGGATGCTTCTTATTAGACAAAGTAAAAAAATTTATAAAATTTTTTTATAACTAAATATTAATATATTTACAAAATAATTATTAAAATAAAATTTTTTTGTTTTTTTAAACATTTAAAAAGAGAAGAGAGAGTTCCAAAGCCTTATAAATAGTGCTTTTGGTATGCTTTTTGAAGGCCTTAAAGAGCATTTTGTTACAACTTTAGTTTGCAGGACTGAGACAACTGCATAGATTATTGCTATGTGTTTTCTGCATCTATGATAAAGTCAAGTTCTCTAATAATTTAAAATAGCATTGAATATAAAAAATTATATTTACCTCAAAGCTGTTTCATTCTTCTTTTTTTTTTTTTGGTCATTGAAGTAAATAATCATTTGCTAAATCATACCTAAGTTCACCAGACCTTTTGTAAGACCATCCTGCAATACCAATTTGAGTCTTTAGAAAATATGATTTTTTAATGACAATTAAATCAACAAGACTATAGTCAGAAAGGACTACAAGTTTACAAGACTATTTTGCAGTAAAATTAGAAACCAATTAAGTGATCAAAGTTTAGGTAATTCTGTTTTTTTAGATATTTAGCTTTCTCTGAGCATATCTCATACTGAAATTTACCGAATTAAGTTTTGATTTCCCTGGTTTTTGAAAACCTGAAGCACAACTTTACACACTTATTTTTTCTTTTTGTGCTTTGTTCTCTTTCTAAATTTGTACTTTTTGACAAATTAATTTCAGGATTTACATTATCATCACACCTTATACCTTAGGACCAAGTAGGATTTCCTTTTTTTTTTTTTTAATATATTATTTACAATGGTTGGGCTGATGTTTAAGAACAAATTTTTTATCATTGCTATTAATGCAAAAAAGCATTGTCTAAAGGTTATTAATTAAATATTGTTGTTTGAAGGTCATTCGTTAAAGGTCATTATGTGAGCGTCATTGTCTAAAGGTCTACTATTCTCAGGATACTAAATCTGTTTTTATCTCAGAATTTTAGTTTCATAGACTTTTGGAAAATCTTTGAATGCATCATTAACAAAAGCAAGTGTCACATTCAATATACATTAAGTGTAACATTACATATCTTATAGATAAGATTGATCTTGTTACCTCTCTCAAGAGATAACAAGATTTTAAAAATGGTAGATCTCAAGATCTACTGTCTACTCTTATCATAAAAGGTCTTGTTTACCTCTGGAGAAACAACCTCATAAGGTAACAAGATATATAAAATAACAGATTAGTAATAAATAACAATTTAACTTGATATATTATCTGAAAAATTTAAAATACAGAATCATCAATATATAGGGCCGCCATTATCCTGGTTTTTCAGCAGAAGAACGCTATAAAAGTTTTAATTAATTTAGCATTGCCCTCTCTTAAATAATCATTTTCTTGTTTGTTTTTTGCTTTTATTGGTCTTGGCATTTAATAAGAACCACGTAACTTAAGATATTAGGTTCTTTTTAATAACAGCAAGCACTAGAGAAGAAAAGCCAAGTACAACTTTCCAATACCTAAAAAAAAATCATCTTAAAAGATCATCTTAAACTACATTATTTTAAAAGCATTATTTTACATATTTATTATTGTGTTTTAGAATAAGTAAAATTATTAATAAAGGGAAACAATATTTACATATTTATTATTGTATTTTAGAATAAGTTTATTAATGAAGGGGAGCATTATTTTACATATTTATTATTGTGTTCATGAATTAGTGACTTGGAAACATTTCTTAAATATGTTCATTATCAATAATGGTACCAAAAAATACATAAGGCCTAAGTAATAATACAGCGCTCAAAGAAGTTTTTAGTTGATCAGCCGTTATTTTGAGTGCTGATAATATAGTGTTCCAATAATGCCCTCCTTAATTGATAAACTTTCTTTAAACAGAGAGAAGATGATAAACTTTCTTTAAACAGAGATGACTGTTTCAAAAACACTGTGTTGAAAGAAAGTTACAATAAATTATTATATTTGTAGCTTAAGTTTTAATAACAATGACAAAAAAATATATATTAGCACAAAATAGCTATAGCACAATTAGCCATTAAAAAAAGCCTTTTTAATGTTACCACTAAACAAAAATATTTTTACCTCAATAGTTTAGAATTTCAATTTCTTCAAAACTGAGAGTAATGATTAAAACAGTAAATTTTGTATAATATAAATTTACTAAATTAAAACCATGTTTCAACAGTAAGCAAACTAATAAAGCAATGGCAACTAAAAAAAAATTGTTTGAACTTCAAAAAATCATTTCATTTTAGGATAATTATAATCAGTTATATGCAAATTTAATAAAATTTGATTCATAAAAAAATGTAGTGACTAATAGTAGAACTAAAATATATAACTGATAATAGTCTAATTAATTATAGTTATAGAAGTTATTATAATAATCTTTAATTTATCAGTTTTGATATCGTAGAATATCTGAAAGTAATGAGAAACAAAAAAGTTAAGTATAATAAAAAGTAGATATGCGTAAAGTTGAATTTCAATTAAAGTATAAATATTAGCACTTATCTGATGGTTCCAAGAAAATAAAATTGTTAACTTGTTGACAAATTCTAGTACTTATATTTTAATACTGATTATAGTAAGATAAAAACATACTTATCATAAACTATTAATTAACAACATTTGAAAATAAATTTGTATACTTTATTTTACCACACATCACTATATTGGGTTGCAGCCAAGTAATACCACAACTTAGTAACATCTCATCACTGGCAAGGATAACAATCTTGCTTTACACACTACTAAGTAACACTGCTTCTAAAACATTAAAAAAAAAGTCCCAAAAAGGACTCCAGTCTTAAAAGTCACAAAAAGATTACTTCATCCTAGTTTTTGGTATCCAGGAGCTCTAAAAATATAAATAAGTTTATGGACTACTAATAGGAAAAAAAATTAGAACTTTTAGGTTAGAGAAACAATCATTTTTGAACCCGGAATCCTTAGGTATAATGGCTGCAAGGACTCCCGGACTCCGGGCTTAAAGTCATTAAATCTCATGAATATTTTTCTTACAGTCAACAAACATGTTTAGAGCTTCTGGACACTACAGACTTGGAAGATATAAAGCCAGAGTCCGTTCTGGACTCCACATCCCTGTCACACACCACTATATTGGGTTGCAGGCAAAAGTAATAAAAATATTTAGTTTACCCCATCTTTTTATTACTTTAACTTATTAATTATAGCCATAGCGTTTTCATAGTTTTTTTAAGACTTCCTGTGTAAATAGAAAACTATAATGCTCCTTAGTCTAACTTTACGATTGTTACTAAGGTTGCTTACAACTTCATGTAAGGCATTATATTGCATGCTTCTTAGTTTTCTTTGGTTATTTCTATGAAAGTTAGACACTGCTCTTCAATTTTTACATATTCATCAGCAACATATTGCTGAAATAGTTTCTTGCCATAAATTACACAGGTCAACAAAAGAATTTTTTTTTCTGGTGCTGAGTAGATAATTTTTTTTTGTATAGCATTTCTCATTTTGATTTCAAATATGCAACTTATTTTTCACCGTCACCTCAAGTTGTAAAGATATTTTTGTTCAAATCTTTAGCATTAGGGGTAGAATCCCTAATATTTTCACACAAAAAAAATTATTCAAAAGTATATCAACTTGCCTCAAAAGGACCGTATTTTTATAGAGATTTTAGAAAACTTTAATTATGCCATCTCTTGGAGAGAAAAAAAAAGAATAAACCGTAGGACCTAAGTTAGCTGACATACTTAATATAACTTCTAAATGATCTTTTGGGTAAATAACTTCCCTGGAAGCATGTGGAACACAATCTTCTCTAACGAATACAACTGTAACTTTACTAACAATAGTTTGCAAATAAAACATTAAATTATGTAAGCAAAGTTGATTGCTATGTTATTGTTTTCTAAAGCTTACTGCTTTAAATGGGTCAGAGATTAATTGATCAGTTAATAATTGTACATGTTTGTTGTATATACATATACAGACCAAGCTCTTTCACTATATATCTGCTAATATTGTTATTATTGGTGACTTAAATGTTCATCATACTAAATTGCTTGGCTCTACTCACCTTTTCTCAGTCTTTTACTAAGTTAACTTTGTGCCTCATTTTCCAGTCAATCCTAATTACTTAACTTACCACTTGATAATGTTGGGGGAATATCTTGATCTGGCCTAAGATTTTCTACACAATGGATAAACTTGACCACATGTTTTAAAACATGGCAGCCTATGATTCACAGGTTAAACCACATCAGTAAATAAAGCAAAATAAATAAAGCCATTATAAATTTTAATATTAAAAAAATAATAATATTGGAATTATGATATATATAATTTCCTGTAAATCTTGTAAAGCTAGCTAAAATAGTGAAAATAAATAAAACAACCATTATAGCAGCATAAAAAATATGCTTTATCAAATCCGCCTATCCATGATGTGCTAATTTAGTATGTATTGATTTCTTTTTGCCAAGCAGCATTTCTTCTATTTTGACAATAATTAATTATTAACCTCATTTCACTATCTACCTTGACTCACATCAACTATTTTTAAATTGATAGTTTATTTTTTTAATAACTTATTTAAGCCAAATATCATCCATTTCAATTTCACTATTATCAATAAACATATTAACAGTAGTACTGTGGTACTACTATGGTAACAAATAAACACAAAAGAACCTTAAGAATTATGATATTTTCTATAAAATGAATTTCTACTATAGAATTATTTGTTTTATAGAATTATTTACTACTATTTTAAGTGAAAATATGAATAAAATTTGTTATCAACATAAATTTTTTATCAACTTTGATAAAAAATTTATGCTGTTATTTAAAAAAAGAAAAGAAATAAAATAAAAATATCAAAGTATTAATTGTCTAAAATTGTGAAAACATCTAAAATGAGATAATAATGTTCAAATAAATATCAACAAAAACCTGAAATCCTAATAACCAATGGAAATAAAAATAACCAAGATAATATTTGGTAATAAAATAAAAGCGCCATGTTGAATTCTTATCTATAAAACAATTTTATTTAACTAATTTAAAACTATTTTAAATGTGCAAAAATCAAAATAAAAAAATACCTTATGTAAAGCAATATATTAAAAAAAAAATTATATGCAATTTCTTTATATATATGATATATAAACCTCTACAGTCTAATTCATTATATATGATAAATAAACTCATTATATATGATATATAAACTCATTATATATGATATATGAATATATATGATATATAAACCTCTACAATTTAACTCATTAGTTTAACCACTGGTTCTACTTCAACCACTGGTTCACCATTGAGTTCAATAATTAAAAAAACAAAAATTAAAATAATTTTATTATACAAAATAACAACTTTTAAAATAAAAAACTATAACAATTTAATTTAAGATTTATTGAAATTCATATTTTTTTATAAGTTTAAATAGATATAAAAGTATATATAATTTACTAAATAAAAATAAATACAAACTCAGTATGAAATTAACTTAAATTTATTTAAAATATATAACAAAATTTATTAGTATCAAATATTTTTAATGTAACAAAGAATGCAGACTACAATGCACAACATTGTTAATAAAAATGAAGTAATGTCAGTCAGTAGAGTAAAATAGGGTCAAATGGAATAGTTAAGGATTTAAATTATTATTTTTTTACGGAAAAAAATTAAAGTTGTAGAGAGTATTGAGCTGTGTTTAAATATATAAAAGTCTAACATTTTTTTTGTAAAGTTTTTTATGAAACTATATTTGATTATAAAAAAATTTATTCCATTCTACACTGACATTCGGGGAAAATGAAATATGCAAATATAAGTGTAATTAAAACGACACTTTATTAAAAAAACAAAAAGCAATCAATAATAACAATTAAAAAAACAATAATAACAATTTAAAAAATCAATCAAGTAAAATAAACTTTTTTATTCTTGTGGTGATGTTGAGTCGTTTAGAGTTACTAGAGGTTGAGTTAAGTTTTCACTTGTGCGGCAAATTTTTAGTGAAATAAAACTCAGCGCCTTTTACATATTGCTTTGATATGCATGTTTGGCATAGTCAACCTTGCAATTTGAATTTTCACGCTGGTATCATTCCATATTTTGACTTGCTGAAGTTTCGTCCAAAACTATACACTTGAATACACTTGAATTTTTCAAGTGTAAAAAGTGCTGAATAGTTTTTCAAGTGTTTCAGCTAATATTTTCATTGGACTTGTTGCTTGGTTTATTTGCTGTTCTCCATTAGAGGTAAGGTTACATTTTTTTTAGCTTGCTTTGCTGCTTTTTTGCTCTCAGCTTTTGCTCTCAACCTTTCAAGTATTTCAGGTTTGTTGAGACACACCTCTTCGAATCTTGGCACATCTATATTTTTTCTTTTTTTTTATGTCAACGTGTTGGATACGAAACATTTGTTGCAAAGCTGCTGCAAGTGATTGAGTTGTAAAACAACTACAATCAGTAGTTGTTTTTGCAACCTCTTTTTAAATTTCCTTTTGAATAGTCAAAGTTACTACAATATTGAAGGTTGTTTTCAGACAAGGTGACTGCAATTAACAAGAGAGTAACTAGCGCATTTTAATCATTTATTGAAACCATTTTATAAAAGCAGTAAATAAAGTTATTTAGATTCAGTTAGAAAAATTCATTCATTGAAATTTATAAAAAAAACTTATAGTTTATAGGAGATTTATTGGTCACTTGAGACCTAATAAAAAAAGCCGCTTTTAAGAAACAAGCTATTGCTTTGTATTTATTTATTTGCGTATTTCATTCAACCCCACAACACTCTGTTTCCGCATTCAAAAAATTTGCAAAAAAATTATTCAATAATTAATTAAGAGCGAAAGAATAAACATTGTCATAACTATTTCATTCTACCCGCTATTTCATTTTACCCTGTTTTACTCTATATATATTTTTTTAAGTAATGAAAAAGATTATACCATTTAAGAACAAAATTAAAAATTTCTAATAAATATATATTCAGATACCTTAAAATTAAGCATAACACAACATTCTTTTGGCAACTTCCAGCATAATTTCTTTTACTTCCGCTTTTCCTTATTATTTTTTCTAAGAGAAAATATACATATAGATATAGAGAAATATAAAATATACTAAAATATATGCAAGTTTATGTATATAAACTTACATGTCCACAAATAACAGTCTTATTTAACTTTTTATGTTAAATACATAAATAAAATTCTTCTACAAACAATAATCTTTATCTATAAATAATGAGTTGAACTTATTAAAAAGGCCCTTAGCTCCATCTAACTGCTCTGAAAAATAAAACAACACTTGTTTAAAATGTTTTAAAAAGACAAAACTGAAACACTTTACTAAAAAAGAAACATACTAAAAAAACCATTTTACCAGTCATTTTAGTTCTAACAGGCTATGAAAATTAGAAAAATAAAAACAACCAACAACAAACAAGCGAGTATTAAATTTTATTTTAGTTTTTGAACAATGAACAACATCAATTCTTTTTGAAGCTAAAAGTTTATCAGCTCTAATTTGCTTGCATACCTTGCTTGAAAGACTGCGTGGAATATAGAACCATGAATAGAAAAGCCTAGAAACTACTTTAAAATGATACAAGTTGACTACTATTAACTATTAAATTACAGTAGTAATATTTAGATTACATTCATCCTATCATTCCTGAGAAAGTTAGTCCATGGTTAGTCAATTGTTTTACATCTTAATCAAACTAATAAATTTTAAACTTAGTGATTTGTTACTGTTACAGTTGCTGTTAACAGTTTAGTAATAGTTAATATCTATTGCAATACTGCTGGAATTCCACAAAAATACTAATGAATGGCAACACTTATATTGAGTTCTCTGCTATTTACATCACAGATTATTTTTCTCTTCTGGCCTCTCATGGCAACCATTCTGTTGTTTTCTTTCTGTTGTTTACTCTGCTATTTACAATGATTTATTTTTTTAATCAGAATCGGTTTTTATGAAGATTTATGGTTTTTTATTGCAAACAATTAGGTTTCTTTATTAATAAAACTCATTATTCTTGTAATGCTAGGTTTTGTATTTCACTTCAGCAGTTCAGCTTTGAGAAGTTTTTATCACATATTTTTATTTGTTCATTTACGTTACATTTTACAATTTATCTTATGGTTTTAATTTGTCAAATATTTAAACTACATTTGTTTTTGTGGCATTAGTTATCACTTACATTTTCTAACAGCTTGTGGTCTGGACCATGCTACAGGCCATTTTTGTTGCATTTTTTTATGAATTTACAGTTACCAGTTTTTTTATTTCATTTACTTTTAAGTATTTATTTATTATCTGAAAACTTTTTTTCTGTCTGCACGAAAGCAGAATTTGTGATTTCAATTTTTTTAGTTTCATGTACTAAAAACTTACAGAATCTTGTAAATATATAAACAAGTTTTTCATTTTAAAAACAAACAAAAAATTATATTTTATTTGTAAGATTTAAATTTAGAAAATTTAAATAGTTTTGTTAAGTTTTTCTTAGTTTCATTTTTTTTATTTCAGACTACCACAGAGTTCAAGTTTGAACCTGATAAGGGATATCAGATTGATGATTTATTTGAAGGATATGTAAGTTATTATTTTTTTTATTTAATGTTTTTTTTCAATCTAAAATTTGTTGATCTATTCATTTAGTAATTGTATGTATTTTTTGTATATACATATACAGAGCTCTTTTTATTTTATATCTGCTAATATTGTTGTTATTGGTAACTTTAATGCTCATCATACTGAATTGTACTCACCTCTTCTCTGAACTCTACTCACCTTTTCTCAATCTTTTACTCAGATAGTTAACTTTGTGCCTCATTTTCCAGACAACCCTAATTACTTACCTTACCACCCCTTGATTTTTGTCTTTTCTTTAACCCTAGTATGAGTTCAGTTTCTCCTTGTTCTCCTTTAGGTGGTTCCGAAGATGCGATGATCTCTCTAAATCTCTAGGCTTGTATCTCTTTTTCAGACTCACCTGATTATTAAGCTACATGGTACTACCCTAAAACTAACTGGGATTCTTTTTTGTGGTTTTCTTCGTGATGGATTTTAGGCTATGTAACCTCCTGGATCAACTCAGATGTTTTTATTCTCAAATAAAGTTTTTTAGTTCTTTAAAACGGTTTTCAACTTCTTGTGCAGCTGTTATATCTAATAATCATTTTTTTTTCAAATTTTTTTGTAAGAACAATTTTCTCGATTTTTTCATGGGAACAGGAAAGGAAAAAATAATCACATGACATGCTTAGTATAAGTTTTAATTTGTCCAAAGGAAAACCACAAATGCTCACATTATTTTTTCCTTCCCTATCCTGTTCCCATAGAAAAACAAATGAGTGGAAACTCATTCGTTTTTCTTAAACTTAATTTTTATTCTCTGACCAGGATTTGTTAATAGAAATAATAGCAGCAAGGCCAGCGCAATAGGGGTGTGGGGAGGCACCCCCCCTTCCCCCATCAATAGTTTTTAGTCGGCAAATTTGACCCTTACATTTTAGTTTGATTTGACCATGGCAAAACAAACCAAAATGCTTAGTTTATTTAATTTACACATTGAAAACATTTGTACTTAACATTTTAACTTTAACATTTGTACTTTTTTTTTTTTTTTTATGTTTCAAAATTTTAACATTTATCATAAAAAATACATAATTATATAAGTAAAGAAAACAACAGTTTATTAATAGTTATTATAAAAATTTATAAGAAGTGTTACTTTATTAAAAAGCGTTTTGATAATATAAAAGCATTAAAGATTAAACTTATTTACTTGTAAAGCCTTCTAAAACATGTCTTTTTTTTTCAACGAAATTTTGTCATCTTTTATAAAAACAAAATAATTTTTTTATTTTTAAATAACATTCATTATAAAAAAAGCATACTTGAACAATTTATATACTATAAATTTAAAACTGTCATACTAAATACTATAAAAAATTTCATTATCAGTAAATTGTTACTTTATTTAAAATCATTTCGCTGACATAATATAAAATATAAAAACAAATATAAAAATAAAAACGTTTAAGCTAATATAAAAATGTTTGTTAAGAAGTTTTGATATAATTTATTTCATTTAAGGTATAATTCAGAATATTTTTCATTCAGCGGGTTTTTAAAAAATTTTCTGAAATAGTTGCGGTCAAATCATCAAAGTGAAATGTGATTTGCCGGGTCATATAATGATCGCACGTCTTCCTGTGAAAGACTGTACATTTATATATATATATATATATATATATATATATATATATATATATATATATATATATATATATATATATATATATATATATATATATATATATATATATATATATATATATATATATATACACACACACACAAACACACACTATCGTCCATAATTGTTCGAATGGTCGTACTATGAAGATATTATTGTTTTACTTGCTATTGGGAGAGAAACTGTAAGCAAAGTCTACCTGAATTATACATTATTTTCCTTTTTTTTAGGTGTTCAAAAATATTAATATAAAACCCCATTAGATTAGTTTATAATTTATTTGCCTTTTAATCACCCTTAGCGACAATAACCGCTGTACATATTTTTGGCATTCTACTTAACAACTTATCCAATTAGTCGAAGTCAAATTTTAGCCACTAACTAATAAGTTTTTTCCACATCTTATGCATTATTAGCCATTACTTTTTGACATTACTTTTAATTTCTCCTATAAAATCTGATAGGAGAGAGATCTTGTGTTTGGGGAGGCAAAATAATTTTATTTTATATTTGATCATTCTTGAACTCAGACAAATAACATAAGCATTTTTTTGAAAAATACATTGTAGATTTAAGCTTCAAGTCATTACCTTCTTAAAAAATGAATAGCTCCTTATTTACCCATCTTTCCAAAGGTTCCGAAGACGTAGCATAACTTTTTAGGTGTACAAGTAAACTATTATTGTCATTACTTCCTCTATTTTCACAAAGTCACTTATGGCAAAACAACCCCAAACCTTAACAATACATTTATTTTTACAGTTAATAATAAACACTATTTTATCATAAGTTCAACAAATTTTATTTCCAGATAAACAACCTTATCTTGAAACAAAAGATTTAAAACTTAAACAGGTTGGTCCGCATTTACTGTCATTGATGGTCCATTTTTTTTATTCTTATGATTTTTATCAAAGCATTTTAACCAAAACACTTTTAAATTATCTAATAAGACTGCAAAAATAGTTTAAAAAAAAAAAAAATAGTTAAATAAAAAATAGTATTTTTTTAAAATGTTAATGCCATTCGAATAATTATGAACCGTAGTATATATATATATATATATATATATATATATATATATATATATATATATACTACTATATAATACTATATATATATATATATATATATATATATATATATATATATATATATATATATATATATATATATATATATATATATATATATATATATATATATATATATATATATATATATATATATATATATATATATATATATATTAGAGATGCCACTAATATTCCACAACTATTTGGTATTCGATGTATTCAGTAACATTTTATACTATAAGGTATTCAGCCCAATATCGCAAATTGTTCAGTCGAATACCAAATACTGAAACATGACAAAAATTGCATTAGAAATAGATTATATGACAAAATATTACTATAAATAATACAATAAACAGAATAATTAAACTATAAATATATTATATAAAAGATTCTATTAATTACCAAAATTTTTTATTTAAAGCAAGTTTAATACTATCTATCAGCAGAAATTATTATGAGTAAAAACAATTTTTTATGTCTTTTATGTTCACTAAATTGACTTTCAACTTACATAGTATTTAAAGGGTAATTAATTGTTAATGTATTTATACGGTTTTTAATAAAATTAATTGAGGTTTGCACTTTAACAAAAAAAAAGGTTTTCTAAGTTTTACAGAATATTCGGCTATTTAAGTGGAGAGTCATGCCGAATTTTTGGTATTCAGCAAAATCACTATTTGTGGCCTCTCTAATATATATAGACTTTAGCATGGTTGTCAAAAAGTTTTAACATATTTTGTTGTTATGAAAAAAAATTAAAATGCAAGACCGAAATTATTTTTTTTTATTACTTGATAGACTGCCTGCCCCAACCAAACCCTTTATCAAGCAGCACTCCGTTGCAAGTCAGGCTATAAGATAGTCGATGTAGCAGCATTCAGTTGCAAGTCAGGCTATAAGATAATTGATGTAGCAGCACTTCCTTGTAGCAGCAGGCTATAAGATAGTTAATGTAGCAACACTCTGCCCATGATTTACAGTAAAAATAAATAAAAATAAAAACATTTTATTAAAAAAAAAAAAAAATAAAAGCATTATTTATATTTTTAAAAATGTTCAAAATGTTTTAAAAACATTCAGAGTGTTTTTAAAAACATTCTGGTCTATTAAATTTGCGTTTTTGTGGTATTTTTAGAAAATGATTAATTTCCAATAAAATTAATGGTTTTAACTTAATGCAACACAAAAAGTTGGGTGAAAGGCAAAAGTAATTAAAAGTGACGTATTTGTTATCAAAAGAATCATTTTTTACCTTCTGTACTTTCAAAGCCAACAATTTATATAACAATATATATATATATATATATATATATATATATATATATATATATATATATATATATATATATATATATATATATATATATATATATATATATATATATATATATATATATATATATATATATATATATATATATATATGTATGTATATATAGAGGGGAGGGTTATTGGACATTTTTCGAGTTAGTCTTACTGAACAAGAATTTTTTGAAGCTAAATTCTATGCTGAACATGAATCCATCAAGCATTCTGCTGCACTACATTGGATTGTGATTATTTTTGAAAATGGCCACTATAATGACAGTTGTTTCTTAGGCCCTTAAATCTTAATTCAGATTAGACCTTGTGATATGTCCTTTCTTCAGTTTTCGGGGTCAAGGAATTCAAATTTCAATGTAAAATTGACATATTAACAATGGTTTATTTTATATGCAAAAAAATGCTACAATTTACAATTCTAAGTCATTCCAAAAGTTAAGAGATTGGTCTGTAAGGTGAGTCGCAATTATTTAGAGGTGAAATGAATAAGCCACAATTTGTTCTAATATATTTATCATGAATATATTATTGAGTATTTATTCAGCAATTAACTTTTTAGTAATTGATCAATATAGTTATTGACAAGATCATTCACAGACTTCAGAAAGTTTTTTATAGAAATTCTCAATTTGCCAAGATTGAATTTTTGCATTTTGATTTGTCCATTGTCCAATTTCACACGTCTTCTCTGTTGATATCAGGACTTTTAGTGAGACGCAAATAACATATTTTGCTGTGAAGCTGACTTTCAGTTAATAAGGCAGTATTTCAATATACGACTGTGTCACACTTCTTCCAGTACTACTATAATATTACCATGCTGCCATAGTCTTCCATGCTTTTTTCGTTCTTCCAGCATTTTGAAAGTTTTTGAAATTTTCTGCTTCTTCAGTTCTTCTTTTTTCACAATAGATGATCTTCAAGAATCCTGAACTGTTGCTATAAAGTCCTTTTCTAGTTTTCTGGCCTGCTTCACCTCATCAGATGTCCTCGCCCGTTTCAAAAAAATAGAATTATTAATATATAAGTAAATAAATAGAATTAGCTTAAAATAGAAATTTGCCGAAGAGTATGAATGCTGGTGCTGGGAGAACTGAATACTTTTTTGTCTGTTAAAAGATGCATCAACTTATGAACACTGCTTTTTTGTTCCGCATTTCAGCATGGTCAGCAACCAAAATCACATGTGCGGAACATTTGATAATTTTCTGAGTGCCCATATCTAAGCTTTCTAGTAACGTCGCGTTGTCTCCAGCTTGATCAGTCTATAGAATCGAGTTTATTCAAGCATTACTGCTTAAAATTGATTAATGATAATCTTAAAATTAACAAATTTAAAGAACATCCGCAAACATTATTGTCATTAAGTTAGAGGCTCAATGGAGGTCATTACTATAAAGATGTAATAATAGTGTTATTATATGAAACTTTGTATGCAACATTGGAAGACAACCATTCATCAACTGTAACAATAGAAAAGCAAGAAATTAAATAAAAGAAAAACTTATTAAAACTTTCAAAAACTTTTTTCAAGCCATCAAATGAGTTTGAAACCATCATGGACGATGAACCTTATTTCTGTGTAAATGGTGCAAATTGTTTTAAGTTTTTTTGCAACATCACAATCACATTTTCAAATTAAAAAACAAACTTTCCACCAAATAGATGGTGTTGCTATGGGCTTCCCAGTAGCCCCTGTTCTTACTGATTTATTTATGGGTCATTTTGAAGAAAACTGGCTAAAATCATACAATGAAGTCAAGCCAGTATATTACAAACTTTATGTTGATGGCATTTTTGCCACATTCCCACCAGAAAATGATGCATGTCATTTTCTTGACTATGTCAATAAAAGACATAATTTAATATCTTTTTCTATGGAAAAGGAATCTAATATCTTTTTCTTGGACATTAATATAAACTAAGTAAATAGTTCCTTATCTACCTCCATATTTAATAAGGAAACGTATTCAGGTCTTCATACTTCCTTTTGTAGTTTTATCTCTTATTCACACTAAGTAAATTTATTAAATGCTTAATTGATAGAACCTTTAAAATTAATAATAAACTTGGTTTTTATTTTGACATTATATAAAATCTTTTTAATATTTTCAAAAGCAATTTGTATCCAACTTGGCTTATAAACAAAATATATAATTGTTATCTTGACAAAAAAACTATTTCTACTAATCAACACGAATCAAAAAACCAAAAAATCATGAAAAACTACTTTACGCTTTCTTACGCTGGTAGTATATCTGATCAAGCAAAAAAGATTTTAAACTCTATCATTAAAAAATAATATAAACCTATAAACTTTAATTATTTTTTTTTACCTCCTTTAAAATTTCTAATATATTTTCACTAAATTTTTATATTTTCCTCTTTCTGTAGTGTTTAAATAATCTGTTGTTTACAAATTTGTATGTGCAGGATGTAATACCTGATATATAGGCGAAACTTCTCTCCACCTTAAAACACAAATGATTGAATACTACATGAGAGACACATATACAAACATCTCCATGCTAACAATAATTGTTTTAATAATTTTAATAATGACAGTTTCTTGATATTGGATTCCAGGTCTCCAATTAATTTAAGATTAAGGGAAGTTTGTTTTTGAATGGAAAAATCCAGATAAGTACAAATAGTTAAACCATTATAAAATATCACTTTTCACATAAAAGTTTATTAGTTATTAACCTATTTATTTTGCATATATATTTCTACCATTTTATTAGTTATTAACCTATTGTTAAATAATTTAATAACTTTTTAATTGTATTTTTTTGCAATTAATAATAATAAAAAGTTGTAATTTATATTTTATTACCTCTGCTTTTTCAAAAAAAAAAATTTAGCACTTGGTTCTAACAACCAATTTAAAACTAAAATCTCTTCATTATTTGTTTTAGTTGATTTTATAACATTGTGATCATACAATAAATGTTATCTTTCTTTGCATATTTTTTAAGTGCTGTTTAAATTATGCTTATGCTTTATTTTGTAGATTACCACATTCCCTGTTGCTGAAGATTCTCTAATTAGTTTTTTTCAATTCAATGGTTGCAAATCTGGTATGTACAAAAGTCTTTTTAAAAAATTTTAGGGGATAAAAAAAGAACTATGAAATAATATCATGATTTATTTGTATATGTAATAACAAATTATTTCACACTTATAATTATTAACTTACAAATTATATTGTGTAGTAAGATAACCTAACTGGATTTATACTGAAGTAGCTTGATGCCAGGCTTCAGTAAATACATTGACTGACTATCTAAATATAATATGCAAGAAGTGCCACATACATCAACTTCTTTGTTTTTTTTATTTTTCTTGAAAAAAGATGTATGTGATAAAGTGTGTGTGTGTATATATATATATATATATATATATATATATATATATATATATATATATATATATATTATATTTCATATAATATAATCGAAAGAAGTCAATTCTGATACAAATGGAACCACGGGGTCAAATGTTGTATCAGGGGCTGCCAAAAAAACAAATGACCAACTATCTCTTCTTTTTGAAACCACAAAGGAAGGTAATGACCAAGAACGTAGAGAAACAAACGTCCTCATCTATGGATTAGAAGCTACGCAGTGTTCTTCACAGACAGAAAAACTAGAAAATGACAAATCGCAAGTAAATAATTTACATAGTGTTATTGAATCCGATGAAGCAAAAGCGAGATCTATTTGCTGTCTTAAATCTAAAGGAAGCATCAATCCTTTGCTTATCGAGCTTGAAGACGTTAATAACAAAAATATGGTTCTTAAAGCATCATTCAAATTAAGAAAAATCAAAAAATAATTATCAAATAATTATCAAAAAAGAATTATCAATTCTCCATTTAAATATTTGTAGTTTTACTAAAAACTTTGACGAACTAAAAGTCATACTGGATAATCTTAACTTTAACTTGAGCTTTGTGCTGAGCCATTGGTGTATGTGGTTAGCATTCCTAACTTTACTATTGATATCATCTAATAAAATTTTACTTACTTTTCCAAGTTCAGGTTTAGCTGGATTTATTATGCAGCACTGTCTATTGTTGGGGAAATTATCTTTATTATTATATAAGGTAATGAATGCTGTATTCATGGCTAGACACTCTAGCCTATCATCTATGCCCAAGTCTTTTGCTATGATTTCTCCACTGCATTATCCCGATTTAGTTTTAAAAATGATTTAATTAAGCTAGTTAAGAACATTTCTTTTTCTGCAATTCAAAAAAATTTTCAAAAGCAATTGTAAAATGACATAGTGAAAATAAAATCTTCAAGCAATGTTTTTGTCTATGCTGATAAATCACCTGATAAAAACCTGTATGAGCTAGATAAACCTTTGTATCATAAACTTTATACTGAAAATATTTCTAAAACCTATAAAAATCTGATATCGCACATTATAACATTAACACAGATGCTAAAATCGCTATTGCATGAAACTTTTAGTTATGCAATGGAAATATATCTCAATAATTATTTAGTTTTCACTATATTATTTGCTCTACTAATTATATAACATGCATTATTGAACACGCTTATATATATATATATATATATATATATATATATATATATATATATATATATATATATATATATATATTATATTATATATATATATATATATATATATATATATATATACGTATTACGTATATACGTATATATATATATATATATATATATATATATATATATATATATATATATATATATATATATATATATATATATACGTATATATATATATATATATATATATATATATATATATATATATATATATATATATATATATATGTATGTATATATATATATATATATATGTATATATATATATATATATATATATATATATATATATATATATATATATATATATATATATATATATATATATGTATATATATATATGTATATATATATATATATATATATATATATATATATATATATATATATATATATATATATATATATATATGAGAGAGAGAGAGAGAGAGAGAGAGAGAGAGAGAGAGTGCTCAATGTTCTTAAAGAATAAATATATGTGCGGTAATGGTATAGTGGTAGAGCGCTCGCTTGACAAGGAAGACGTTCCGAGTTTGATCCCCACCATGTCCCTGGTAGTACCGTGCTCAACTCGTTTCTCCACGCAGCCGCTTTGTTTATCAAGAATCGTGCTTTGGAGTTGAAAGAAGGTTATAACCACAAATAAGTAGCCTCCTCGTCTGTAGTGGCCTTCTCGGCCTTGAGGAGGTGAAATAACATGCGAGAAGTAATTAAACCACAAAAATGCAAATTAAAAGACTAGAATGTTTTTAAAAACATTCTGAATGTTTTTAAAAACATTCTAGTCTTTTAATTTGCATTCTATTTTCTAACTGTAAAGCATGTGCGGAGTGTTGCTACATCCACCATCTTATAGTCTGACTTGCGACGGAGTGCAGCTACAACAACTGACAAATAGCCTGACTCGCAACGAAGTGCTGCTATATCAACTGAGGGTTTGGTTGGGTCAGGCAGTCTATCAAATAATTAAAATTAAAAAAACCTAACATTTTATGGTAAAAACTTAAAGACGACCATGCAAGAATATATATATATATATATATATATAATATATATATATATATATATATATATATATATATATATATAAATATATATATATATATATATAAAAATATATATATATATTAATATATATATATATATATATATATATATATACATATATATATATATATATATATATATATATATATATATATATATATATATATATATATATATATATATATATATATACTTTTGAATACATTTCCGGGCCTTGTTAAGAGATTTTGCTGAGTAATGGAGAAGCATAACGCAAGTAAATGTAACTTAACTCAATAAAAGTATATTTATACATTGTTAAAATTTTAATTATGTCAGTTGCGTGTTTTAAACTACTGCATTGTTTTTAAATTGAACTTAAAACCACATTAAAAAACGGTGTAAGTCTTTATCTTTATAAAATATCTTTTAATTAAAAAAAACTGTTATAAAAAAAGTTATAAATAAAATTCAAATGTTTGAAAAAAAAAATTCTTTTTTTAAAACCTTATGCTTATTGAAACAAATTTTCTTTCTTTAAAACATTTGTCTTATGGTTTGTTTTTTAATGAGGGGACACTTGTTTATGGTTGAAATTCTTAAAGGGATTACTGCAGATTTTTTTAAACAATTTACACAACTACACAATAAGATTATGTTTTCCATTTTAAAAATAATGTTTGCAAAACTCCAGTTCAACTGGAGACTTTTTAAAAAATAAAAATTGTAATTAAACGAAGATTACTGCTTTTCTGTTTTCATTTCTTTTTTTTTTTTTTATTAAAATATTTTGTTTTCATTTACAGTGAAACTTGATGGGAAAAGATTACTACATCTGTCCAACAACATCCGTGAAGTAGTGAAATAACATCCGCACATTTTTATCCAAGATCATTCCCTTTTTTTCTTTACTGAATTAATATCTGTCCAACAACATCCGAAATTTTATTTATGTCTAATAACATCTTTAGAAAGATGTAACTACAGTTGGGAGTTTTTCTCGATGTCTAACTATATCTGCCTAAAATGATGCATTATCAAATTTAATAAATTTCCGGATTTAGTTACATTAAAAAAAAATCATGTGTTTATCTGCATCTGGTTAAAATAATGCATTATTACAAAAAAATTCTTGATGTAGTTGCATATATAAGTTACATATATAATTATTATATTATATAAATGCTGCTACATCGACCTTCAAATAGCCTGACTCGCAATGGAGTGCTGCTATATCGACTGAGGGTTTGGTTTGGGCAGGCAGTCTATTAAACAATTAAAAAAAAAATTAATTATGCTTAAAATAATGCATTATAAAAAAATTTTTTTTTGCGGATGTAGTTACATCCGAAAAAAATCAGATGTGTAACTACATTTGGTTAAAATAATAAATTATTATTAAAAAAAAAAATTTTTTTAGATGTAGTTACATACAAAAAATCTACAGATGTAGTTGCATGGATGTTATTATACATCTATGAAATTTTGGATGTTGTTGGACAGATCTTATTAGACAAAACGGATGTTGTTACCCTGACCCAAACCTAATGTGTTTTCACTATTTCTTACTAAATCCAAAAAAAAGTTTCGGTTTTTAAATGTTATTATATAAGATCTTTATCAAGTATAATTTTGTAAAAGTATAATTTTAAAATTTTATTTACTGCACCAATATTAGTTTTTTTTTAAACTTTTTTTTATTAAAAGTTTAAAAAACGGCGGAAGTCCAACAATGTAAACTTTCGGGAAACTAAACAGCACTGCTTCCTCAATAAATTATTGTTAATAGTTTAACAACTTTTTTTTTGAATGGGATAATGTTTTTTATCTTAAATGCAGAAATATATTTTTTCATATTTTTAAAGAACTTATAAACCAATTAACACTGTGGACTTTAGCCCTTTTAACATTCAACAAATAATTACTGCTTATTTTATTATGATTTTAATTTTGAGCTATAGAAAATAAAGTCACAAACTGCAATAAATCTTCATAAATTATACATTTATGAATTGTTTATACAATATTAATAAAAATTATAAGGAAAAAAGTCTATTACAGAATTTTTATCAGCTATGCTTAATCATTTTCCCCAGCATCTTCTGCTTTTCCATCGTTGCTTTCTGCTGTAGGCCATTGCAGTAGTTAATTATAAAAGTCAATATGCTCATGTGGAATATACCTAATACACTTTCTTAAGTCATTCAATTTAGCAGATTTTATTTGGACTTTTCCATTTGCGTAAAGAAGCTTCTGGCAGGTTCACTTTGTTTTGAGTATTTTTTCTCATCATAAAAGTGTGTTTGGCTATGCCATTGATAATTTCACTGGCCTTACATTGACCTATGTTGTCACAATCGTATTTAAAATGGTGAAATTTGCTTATTGCAAACTGAGTTTGGCTGGCTTCTGGGTTTACCCATTGTTTCAATTGAGGTAACGTTTCTTTTATAATGGACTGGCGACCAACTTTTAACATCGTAAACTAGAGATGAACTCTCTACATCAACCACTAAAAACCTTTTTTGATTACTATTTTTTAATATAATTTTTTTTATTTCTTGAACGCTGTAAACTCTGTCATGCCTTCTTAACTCTCTTTTTATAATCGAAAAGTCACGGTCACAGGGCAAAAAGCTGTGCCCTCTGATTGGGAAAAATTGAATGATCTTTTTCATCAACTTATTGTCAGTAAGCGTCATAAAAAGTTTTGAAAAGCAATGGTTTTTATTTTGCCCCCCACAATTATCAGCATAAAAGTTGAGTTCATCATACTCTTGAGGACAGGTAGACATGTAGTGCAAAAAAAATGAAGCAAGTTTTGGAGACTTTCATTTGGAGACTTTCTAGCCTGCCCCTTGTGATAAAGATAGAGAGTTGCAACATTTCTCTTCACATTATCAATAGAAAATACACTAACTGTTAACTGCTTTAGGTAAAATAACTCTGGCACAGGTATTTTGGGCAGTGAAATGTTTTGCATATAATCTACTGCTAGGGACAAAACATTTACCTTTTTTTCTTCCCTAGCGTCCTGTACATCTTGTTTTATGGCTTGGTAAAATTTTTTTGCACGTCTGTTATGTACTGCCAATACAGTTACTGCTGTTTGCTTAGCAACTTCATTAAGGTGAGGTGATTTTATCTTTAGCTTTAGCTCTTCTCATATGCAACAGGTGTCTACTTGATGTTGTCTGAAACGTAAATAAAAGTGCTTATTGTAGTAGTTATAAAAGGACTTGTAACTGAACTTTACCCCTTCATTTTTTTCATGAATAGTTCATACATTAACTTCACGCTCAAATCTTAACTCAAAAAATACCTTTCCTTTCCGCCATGGTGGATCAGTTTTTTTGGAAAGGAGTCTATGTGAGCGTATACCTTTGTTAGTATATCGTGACTGGTAATGTAACTTGTATGTACTCCTCTCAAATCTTTAACTGCTTTTCCATTTATTTTTAAACTCCTTATTCTTCGAACCCTCTTTTCTGACACAGAAAATATTGATAAAAATGCCACAACACATACCTGTACTCGTTCATCTCCGATCAAAACATGATCTTTAAATTCCTTCTTGTTTCCAACGTCACTTTTTCTTTTTCGTACAGTATCTTCATTAACATCACGACTTTTTCCCTTGCTATCTCTTGAACCAGGCCTCTTCCTCACAATATCTGTAACATCAATCAAGCTGTGTAAAAATTAATCCTGCTCATCTTTTGTATTGAACTGGCTGTAGAAGTTTATAAATACATCATCAAGGTTTTCTTTGCCAATAGATTTAAAACACTTTCTTGAACATCTGAAAAAAAATTTTACTTTATAAAAAAAAATTATAGGTAGCCTAGTCTAGGAAACAAAATAGAGTTTAAGTTAAAATATGCTAATTGATTGTAAGCTACCCTAAAAATGTCTTTCTATTGTCTTAAGCCTACAAATATTTAACAAATATAAACCTAAACAAGCAATCAACAACTTAGGTCTAAAGGCCAACTATAAATTACAGAGCTTAAATCTGACTAAATTTTAGACAAATTATTACAATTTGACATAAACATATTATTAAATTAAGAATTATTGCGTATTATCTCTTGCATGGATCTCCAATAGACTTTGCATCAACTTTTTCTCCTCTGTGGTTTTCATATGCCACACCAGTAGGCCTAGATTTCTTAATCTTGTTCTTTTTATAATTATCTGGGTTTCTTATCTTTTTTTTTATAATTTGTATGATCTGACTCACTACCACTATCACCCATTTAAAAAAGCAGTTAATCAACTTAATTCACTATTTAAATCATTAAATGTAATAAATTAACTTTATTCACAATCAAAACAACAAAGTAAGGTTACGTTTGGTCTGCTGTCTTCAAAAAAAGTTTTGGTTTTTTGTTAAAAGGGCTGAGGTCCGGACTTTTAACAAAAAACCAAAACTTTTAGACACTGTACAGGCTAGAGATTTTTGACAGACACCTTTTTAGCACAAAATGATGGGACTATCTTTTGAATATACAAATTTGCTAAAAAGTTGATTTTGCAAAATATATGACTTCCGCCCTTTTAACATTCACCGATTCATTTATCTATCTGTGTTTTTATCTAATAAAAAAATATTCCACAAATGTTTTATAACAATAATTAATTACACTCTTAAATAAGTTCCGGTAAACTATACGAACTTTCAGGCATTTTGCCTTAACTAGTTTGCTTCAAAAAGTGCTAGACAAATATTCAGGCAAATTACCTGAACCTGATACTATTCGCTTAAAAAGCCTGAACAGCCGCTATAGGTATTCTGAAGTATAGTTCAGGAACTATACTGCCCCACAAATCTTTTATAATAACAGGTAACCTGAAATAGTTTACAGGTAATACGTTACAGGTAACCTGAAATAGTTTTGTACAAAAACCTGAACTGGCGCACTACAAAATATGATACCGAACTAGTTTTTTAAAAAATTAAACATATTAGAAAGATTAGAAAGATATTTAAATATATTTTAAGATAATCAAAATATTTTTTTTTCCCCAAGTTCTTTGCAGTAATGAAAGTATCAATTTAAAAAAAATGCTCAAGAGTATTTAAATAAACATTTTTGTAATAATTTCAATATAATTACAAATATCATTACAATTAGAATTTACATGTCAGATATATTTACAGAAACAAATAAAAAGTTAAAGCTATTAAAACTTTTATAAAAACTCCATTTTTTTAAGCTAAGTTTTGATTATTACCATAATGATTAAATCACGACATAAAACAAAAAAGCTGTAACATAAGTGTTTGTTTAAATGAAAATACTTCCAGTCTACATGTAAATAGTTTGAGTAAGATAAAACAAGCATTTACAAACAATTACTAAGTAACTGTTATATTAGGTAACTGTTATTTTATTGTTTATACCAATATGGCTAACTTGCCGTATTGGTACACTTAGCCACATTTATGTACACATTACAAATTCAATATAAATTACAAAATAAAAAATATAGTGGTATCTATTAAAATAAGAACATTTAAAAGTTTATCCACTTCTTAATTTTTCATTAACAAACAATGACAGATCACTGCCACCTCTTGACAACGGCAAATCGTCATTAATACCTATAACTACACGTTGTAAAAAATGTAAAACATGTCTGCATTCTGGCGCATATTCAATATCGATAACAAAGTATAGTTTCAGTAAACGGTCTACTGCACTTAACATGCCATTTCTAATCGGAATAACATTGTCTTCTATAAAAATAACTGACTGAATCAAGTTGCCTCGAGCCCCTAGTGTAATAACTAATGGATGCATGAAAGAAGTATGTCTATTTGCATCAATTTTAGTCTCCATAGGTGTAGTGTTCTTTGTAAAAATAAAAATAAATAAGATACATTATAGAAGCGAAATTACTATTCAGGTTATAGCACATACTATTAATAAACTTAAAAAAAAAAAACTTACTGGAAAGATTTGAATAAAGTGAGCTGCAACTTCAGCTGTAGACGGTCGATCCTTATTTCTAGGAGGCACTTGAAGAATGTACGGAAGCAAGTGAAATGCAAATTCCATATTTCGATCTTTGATTTTCAAAAACATTTAAAATTCAAAAAGTACATATTTCAGAATAAAGAAAATAGTTTTAGCTTGTGAAAGCTATATAATATAAAAACAGTAATTAAAGAAGACGATGTGACATGCCATTTGAAGGTATTAGCTGGCTGTCAAGCTCTAAAAGTAGTTGTTTTGCCATTGGATTCGCTTTTCTGCGAGTCCAAGTAATAAAATCAGGAGCCATACCCTCCCATTGCATAAGCAAATCTTGAGCATTTTCAAATGTTTGTAAACTTTCTCTGAAACTAATATAATGATAATTAAGAGTCATTAAATGTTTCTCAAACAAAAAATCAATTTTACTCTAGTATTACTCCAAAAGCAGTAATTCAAGACATTAGAATATACACTACAAAAGTAAAAAACAGTGCTGCTTACATCAAATCCTAAATCTTTAAATGAGGGAAATTTCCGAATAAACTCATGAAAAGGCAGTTTTGATGACTTAATCCAGTTTCTTTGTGATACTTTAGTTTTTTCAAGAATAAATTGTTTTCGATCATACTGAATGTCATCATAAATATAATGTTTCGTTCTTCATTT